CAGGGCCAGCTGATGTAACAGTGAATGCGTTTGCTCTCAGGGTTGGCAGATACCGAGTGGCCCGGCAGGAGCCAGACCCTAAAACATGGAGCGGTCACCTACTTCCTGGATGGAGCTCACACCCTGCACAGCATCCAGGCCTGTTCCGAATGGTTTAGAGAGACTGCAGCTGAGCACGAGAGGAACGCGAGGTGAGCTAAAAAAAAAAAAGATGTGCTAGAATTTTTAATTTAAACATTTAGTCCGGTCTCTGTTGTTAACAAAATGGACCAGAGTGTGTGTTCCAATTGTAGGTGGATCTACAGAAATATTTTTACATCAAATGCTATGTGATGTGACACTTTGATGTGTTTGTGTTTCAGTGGCCCTGTGGCCAGAGTTTTGCTGTTCAACGTTACAGGAGAGAGAGACGCAGCTGCTTTCCTTAAACTCCTGGTGGTGAGTAGTTCTTCGAACCTGAATGCATTTGTAGGTATGTTGGCAAGGACGTGACAGTACGTATAGAGTTGAAAACTTTTTTTTTTTTGCATGTCTTGTTTCTTTGCAGCCGTGCCACTTTGACTTTGCTGTGTTCTGCCCATGCATTGCCGAAGTCAGCACCTCCAGTAGTGAGTTTGCTGAACCTGTTTGCACCTGTACAGATCGTTCTATATAAAATCAGTCTGGACACAGTATTGGTGTCCAGAAGTGTGCAGTTGTAATCTAATGTTATCTGAAGCACATTTTTATAGTTTACTTGTGTGGAGTTTGTGTTGGAGTCTGTGTTTCCAGATGCAGATTATGCAAGAAGAGACGATTTTATCCAGTGAATAATTCTGAGCCAAAAACTTTGAACTTATTCTTTCACCTTCTTCAGTACAGGAGAAGAAGTTTGACATGTCTGTGAAGGAAATGCTGACTCGCTGCTGGGACAATGAGAGGATCTGGCGCCTCCATTACCACCTGGATGACAATGGAGATAATCCATTGCTGATTGAGGACAGGCTTCCTAATTTACCTGAGCACAGAGGGGACACCTTGGTGTTCCCGTGCATCTTCAGCGCCCTCCAGTGGATCACACAAGGCAGGGACTCTGTGCTGGCCGATCAGGCCAAGATGACGCTGCCGGTTAAACCGAGTGTCACGGCCAAAGCTGCTCCTCTCCGCGAAGCTAGTGAGATCCACGTCCTCATCACTGGAAGCCTTTACCTGGTGGGAGGAGCTCTCAAACACCTGGACACAGCTTCTTCCAAGTGAACAGAAGTGTTTTTTATTTGCACAACTGGGAGGGATTTGCTTCTAGGGAAGAGGGTTGGGTGTGGTGTTAGTTTTTCTAGACTTATTTTCCTGAATCTGATTATTTTCTCTGTATGGTATGAAGGTAACTTTTGCGTATATTTTTGTAACAGTGGCCAAAACTCAAGTTTCTAAGTGTGACTGGATTGCAAATAAATGATCTTTTAAAATGTAAAGTTTTTGATCACAGACTGGGTAATGTTGCCTTCAACACTTTTCTCTTATTTGCATCACTAAATGCATCGGCTTCCTCGTTGGTTCCAAGTCACAGAGTTTTGCAAGCTGGAGTCTATGGGTCATTTTGACCTTGAATCCCAGTATTTGATCAGAGTAAACATGAAACTGGACTATATGCTGTGATACACGAATGTAAGATGACATTCTGCTGATCGGCAAACATTTTCATTCACCCATCCAAATGATTGAATTCAGGTGTTCCAATTACTTCCATGACCACAGGTGTATAAATTCAAGCACCAAGGCATGCAGACTGCATGTTCTCTGCAGCGATGAGTCAAGCTTCTCTTTTTGGAAATCCGATGGGTGAACCTGAAATGCTGAGCTGGTTCAAAAAGTGCTTACAGTATGAACGCGAACAGTTAAGAAAGGACAGAGCTTCATCTCCATCAAGGAGTTGTACCTCAGCCTCCTATTTGCAAGGTCTTTAAACACTCCACTATACTAGATACCATGCTGTGCCTGTGGTTAACTTCCTGAAATTAGACAATTCTGCTCTACATCTGAACCACAGTGGACACTCAAATACATACTCACATTAAACATTTGTGCAAAACAGTCATATGAATGCTTAGTTCTGAAACTCTTCTTAACTCACTCTAAACTGAACCTCATTAAATATTAAACCCTGTTTGTCGGCAGCGCTGAAGACAGAAAAGTGGAAAAGAACCCCGAGTAACAACTGGGTAACAATGGATCAAATCTGGGTGCTGGGTTACTGGCAAAAATGCACAACACAAACACACATGCTTCCAAAAACACACACACTAGAAAAGAATCTGAAATAATCAACTGATTAAAAAAACAAGTGGTTCAAAAGTACAAAACACTAAAAAACAAATCAACACAGGGAACAAACCTAAAGCAAAAAATGCAATGGGAAAATTAAAAGGTACCAAACAGGTGCAAAAAAAGAAGAAAGAAAACATGTTCCACACATGATGTGGGGTAATACTGAGGTGGTACATTAAAAGTAGTGATGGGGGAAAACAAAAAGGTTGAAGCTTCTAAACCAAAGCAACCACGACAAAACGGCACAATATAAAATAAGGTAAAAGAAAAAACAAAAACAAAACAGAAATCAAGTCCTGAAGGTAAGTCCAAACTTTTCATGTAGTGTAGAAACAAATAGTTTTCTTTACCCTGAGACATAAAAGCAGCTTCAGAGCTCGGCCCTGCACTCTGAAACTAGCTCCACATATCCAGGATCTATTTTCTTGGTCCAGGTTTTCTTATCCTAACATCAGCAGCCACGTGAAGCTCGTCACAAATGGGATAAGTCAACCCAGGGTTTGTTAACCTCGCTGCAAGAGTGCTGACATGAAAGAGATGATGCTGGCAGCATCTGACCAATCAGAAACAAGGACAGAGGCTCATTTTACAAAGGAAACTGTAATACCAGGACCAGAGATGGGCAGTAACGCGTTACTGTAATCTGATTACTTTTTTCAAGTAACGAGTAAAGTAAGGGATTACTATTGCAAAAAAGGTAATTAGATTACCGTTACTTTCCCGTAGGAACGCTGCGTTACTGCGTTACTAAAACCGTGATTTTCTGCGAGAATGTCTCACGACAGTGACGTAAGCGAGTGCGCCGTTAGTGACAACAGCTGTGTGCAGATCAACAATGGATCACGTATCGATTGTGGGAGAGAGTATGAGCGTGCAGCGTTTAAAGCGTGGAAGTACTGACCTTACTTTGAGTTTGATTCCATAAAAAGTGACAAAAACATTAGCGTCCATCGTGCGTGGGAAGAAAACTTCTTTTTACAGCGAAAAACCCCTAAACTTCCGAGCAAGCACCAAGTGCGCTACGACGTAATGGGAAACTCACGGAGAAACTCGCGGATTCTTCAACCTACCGCAGTCCTGCTTTACAGGTGAAAACAGAGCAACAGGACCGCTGAGTCTTTGACTTTATTTATTTTCTGCTGTGTTTTACTTGCATCTACCGTATTTGAAAGAGTGAATGTAAACACAAAAAATATTTTATTTTATGTGCTGGAATGTGCAGAAAATAGGTTTAAATGTTAAACTAATTTATTCAACTCAGAGAATGTTGCATATAATAAAATTTTTGCTTCATGCATAAAGTTAAAAGATTAAAACTGACTTTTCCATTTGATTACATTATGTATGATGGATTATGTAGAAAAAGTAGAATTGGGCTGAAAGATCTATCGCTTTATCACCTCTTCAGGTTGTAAATCGTGTTTTTAAAAAGTAACTAAGTAACTAAGTAATTAATTACTTTTGAAAATAAGTAATCAGTAAAGTAATGGGATTACTTTTTGGGGGAAGTAATCAGTAATTAGTTACTGATTACTTTTTTCAAGTAACTTGACCAACACTGACCAGGACAGTGTGGGACACTGATTTATTTATTACGACAGTCAAATTTGATGTGTAACAGTGCTACACTGTGGTCAGAGAGGGTATTAAATTCTTACTGAAGAGAATTACCATTGATGATCAGTGGGAAAGATTGAAACAGTTGAAGTGCCTGGAAGTATCCACATGATGAGGGTTCAATCTCTGCATGGGAAGACAGTTATTCAGATATGTTAACCACTAGACCCACAAACAAAAAACAAACTGTTCCAGTTAAAGTTCCAGCTAATTCTGGTTACTTAACCCCAAATATCTGATTTTTTTTTGTCATTTTTCAGCACATCACTAAATCTTTGTGATCTTCTTTCCACCTTAAACACTGGAAATGTTGAGTGTGACCTTGAAGAGCGCAGAGCTGACAGAACTTTTGTTTCCTTCTGGTGGGGAGCTCTATCTTCACCATCTTTTATCCACCATCCCATCCCAATCTACCATTTTTGGTCAATTTGTGTCAGTTTCATGATAATTGTGAAATTATTATTTTTTGCTTCTTGTCTTCCTTTTTTCTTAATGCACCTTGTCTTCTACCTTTTTTTTGTATTTGCACTTTGTTTTCTTGCTTTATTTAGTCTTTTATGCCCCATTGACAGATGGTTTTTCCTTTTGCTTTCAATCACCTTTCTATGTTGGGGTATTGGTGACATAAACATGAAACACAGAGAAACATGGAGCACCAGACTCTGTTAGCTTTTTCCTCCTTTATTCTCATAGGGCAAACTGTTTCTGTTGTGTAGTTGTCATTGCGGTTATCACACATGGAAAACATTCTTTGTTCAAACGCAGATCAAAACAAGGTTGTTGGGTAGCTCATGAACCAGCTCAGTTTTCAGTGGTTTCTTTCAGAGTCTTAAGAACAGATTTTGTTCTGAGGAACAGGAAGCAGAGTCCCATTGAACAGACTGAGTGAACTTAACATGTCAGAGGTGTTTAATAATAATAATAATTATTAAATAATAATATTTAATAATAATAATAATAATAATAATAACTGATTGCATTTATATAGCGCTTTTGGAGACCCTCAAAGCACTTTTACAATTCCACTATTCATTCACTCTCACATTCACTCACTGGTGGAGGCAGTTACAGTTGTAGCCACAGCTGCCCTTCTTTTAACAAAGAAGAGATTAAAAAATGTGAGTTTCACCTACAACAATCAGAAGGAAAGAAGGATCCTCTTCCAGAGGGGAGAAAAACCATCATCGAGAAAACGTAACTCTGACCGACCACAAGCAAGACACTTGCCTTTCACTATTAAATCCCTCATTCAAGACACTGAAAATTATTCACGGTGTCATGGTGTCTTGGAAATTTGTAAATAATGAGAGGTTACAATAATTATAATATTGATTATTAGTAGTATTCAGTTTAAAGACGTCTTTAGAATTGTTACCTTTTAGCAGCAGTATTAAAACCATGCTGTTGATGAAGCAGTCATATCCCAGCTGACATGTTCTTCTTACGTTTTCTTTTTTACGCTTTAAACGTTGTTTTCACTCAAGTGTAACTTGGAAAAAAGCGAGATAACGGTAACATTTCTTTTTTTTAACTTCGTCTTTTTGTTTGGCTTGTTGAGTTGATTGGCTTTTGTTTGGTCCAATAGTAAGAGAGAATGTCGCATTACCGCGAGATCCTCAACCAATGGAAGAGTCGGTGGGCGGGGCTACGTCCTCCATCTAACGTAAGCGTCGTTAGTAGGAAGAAGAAGCCGATTCTGGAAGCCATTACGTTGCGCACATTACCGGAGTAAATCCTACTATTTTTGCGTACAATACGCACAATTACCTGCCGTAAAGACGCTTTTCTGCACTTATGGCATCGGTGGCCAAAAAGAGAAAAATGAATTTCTCGGAGAGGGAGGTGGAAATTATAGTGGAAGAAATAGAGAAACAAAAGCACACACTGGTTAACCACTTCAATGCCGGAGTCACACACATGGCTAAGAATAACGCGTGGATGGACATCCTGAAAAAGGTGAACCAGGTCACCACCTGTCCGCGCGAGCTGCCCGAGGTGAAGAAGAAGTGGTCCGACATGAAGACAGAGGTCCGGCGGAAGGTGGCCCAAGCGCGGGCTGCCATCGAGGGGACGTCCGCGGACTGCACTCCAGTTCCCGTCATCCTCACCGCCATGCAGCAGAGGATCTGTAACCTGCTGGGAGAGGCCACCATCATCAGCCTACCTGCCGGAGACTCGGATGCGGAGATCACCTTACCTGTGACCGTCAACGCCGCCGCAACCGTCACTCTGACGGAGGGTGAGTGCCGCACGGTGAAGTACGGAAAGTGAAGCGTGCCGAAAATAACTGTGCGTGTAACACTGTAAAAAAAAAAATGAAGTGTGAAGTTTAAGTATTTTCTGAAACAACTGAAAACTCAGACAGAAAAAGTGAATGAAAGTGTTATTAAATGTCACAGTAAACATTATAGTTTAGTTACATTTATGTTTATACCTGAACAATAAATGTAAAGTTAAAAATTGGTCTGTAAGTTAAATGTTTACAAGTATGGTTTAATATTGCATTCTAATCCAAAATACTACATGAAATGCAAAATAACTAAAACTACGTAATAACGACACAGGCTTAATATTTTATGTAAGTATGTTTAAATGTATTATTACATGTAAACAAAAAGCTAATAGCTTATTAAATTTACATTTAAAAGTTAATAGGTTAATGAAATATTTTAATTAAATCTGTGAGATCCATACTAAAAAGTAGGAATTACATTCAAACTGCATTCAACCACAAATGTACTAAATTCTAAATATTAAATTTAAATCATTATCTATTATTATAAGATACTTTTAAACATAATATATAGTGTATAATGTATGATTATAAAATCATTTCAATATAAATGCAAAATTTTAAATCTAAATATTAAAGACACAGACTGGATGGGGCGACCGTGGCTCAGGGGGCTGGGAATTGCATCTGTAACCGGAAGGTCGCTGGTTCGATCCCTGGGCTCTCTGTCCTGGTCGTTGTGTCCTTGGGCAAGACACTTTACCCTACTTGCCCACTGGTGTTGGCCAGAGGGGCCGATGGCGTGATATGGCAGCCTCGCTTCTGTCAGTCTGCCCCAGGGCAGCTGTGGCTACAACCGTAGCTGCCTCCACCAGTGTGTGTGAATGTGAGAGTGAATGAATAGTGGTACTGTAAAGCGCTTTGGGTGCCTTGAAAAGCGCTATATAAATCCAATCCATTATTATGGTAGTTAGCTATTGAAAGCCAAGTGGGCAACATTTGACACCAAAAATTTAAAAATAATGTAGTAAATGTTAAATCCTAATATTACATTTTAATATTTTAATTCAATACTAATTTGGATTATAAATATGAAATCTGATCATATGACTATGATAATAAATTACAAAAATGTAACCCTAAATGTAACATTTAAATTTAGAGTTACATTTTTAAAATAAAAAATACATATTAAAGATTTGCTGATAGTTTCATTGAGGTTTTAGCTTCTTCCTCTGTTTGTCTTTCAGCTCTTCCAGCCGGTGCCGGGACAATCTGTGATGACTCAAAGCTGAATGGTACGTTTCATTTCTTTGCAAATGTTCAAACTTTAGCCGTGACACTTGCAGAGCCATCAGAGTTTCTAATCACAACTCTACTGGACTGTCTGGTGTTGAACTGCTGTGCTTTAAAAGGTGCATTTTGTAATTATCCTACAGATTTAATCACTACCAGGGGTCGACATTTTAACTTTTAGCTCTCTTACCATTAAATACCATTTTTTCTTTTTGCCTGGTTAAAGGAATAAAGGTTACACTGATTCACTGCGCCATCTTCTGCTGCTTATTGGTATTACATGACAGTACAGCCAAGCCCTAATTCAGCTTCAGTCTATATTTCTTCAGCACAATAGAAAGATGTTTCAGACATGAATTCAGAGCAGTTGTTTCTTCACGTTCTCTGTGAGGCTTTTAATAAACGTCTGAAACTAAATAAATAAATGAAATGAAATGAAATGAAACTGATTCCTGCTTCCAGCTGAGACGACGTACCACACTCTGGAGGATGGCGGCGTGGTGGAGTACTGCACCACCACTGAGGGCGACTCTGCCCCGACTGTGGTGGCCGCGGTCGAGGCTCCCATGGAGATGCTGGCCTCGTCTTCCGTTTCCCCACCGCCACCTCAGAGTCATGCCAAACCGCAGGAGCTGAAGAGCCGCATTGCTCTGAACTCCGCCCGCCTGCTGCAGGAGCAGCGAGTCACCAACGTGCACATCCGCCAGATCGCCCAGCACCTGGAGGGCCAGAACGAGCTGCTGCAGATGATGCGGCGCTCCCAGGAGGCGCAGGCCTTTGCCCAGGAGAGGCAAGCTCAGGCACTGGAGGGCACGCAGGCCGCCCTGCTCGCGTTGGTGCAGATGCTCCGACCGGCTCTCAAAGACCTGAGGAAGTTTCTGCAGAGCGGGTCTGAGGCTGCGAACGCCAGCAGCTCTGTGGCGACACCGGCAACTGGAGCAACCATTGATGGAGCGGCAACAGAGGAGCAGAGCAGGCCCAAAACACCTCCGCCTCCTCCTACACAACAGGCTGAGGAGGTGCAATAGACTCTGTGCGTGGTTGTGTGTGTGTGTGTGTTAGTGTGTGTACGTGTGTGAACCATGATTACACTTATGCCTTATGAAGAACATGTACAGAACCAATGGAGAACTGTTATTTTTATTTTTTGCCACGACTTCATGTTATTTAATACCCTGAATCTGGTTTTCTGATCTTTTTTTATGCAAATATTTCATCAGCCTGATGGAAAATTAACGGGTTGGTTTTTTTAGACCGTGGTGAGCCAGGTTTGTGTGTGAGCTGCACTTTAACCAGCATGTGTTCAGACCGGAATAAAGTGAAAAAGAGGCCAAACTCTTTATTTCCTGTCACATCTCTCCTGTCTCAGGGGCAGATGTTCATGTTAAACATGGTAAAAGACGTCAGTGAGTGAACGAATGATCCCCATGAGTCAAAAGTTTTAAACACTTAGTTTCACACAGTTTTTTCTACTCTTGGATCTGTATCATGTCATAGAGAGCAGGCTTTCTATAAAATACTTGAAACACATCCAAAGTTCCACTCTTCTCTTGGTATCGTCTTCTTGTGCATCTCTAAATTGTTTTCGGAGCTTCCATCCGCTGTGATGCTGTTATGTTCCTCCCGTACTCTGCTCTGCAGTGTGTGATGGATCTTTTCCAGTGTATCCAAATGTTTCAGGGAGGCGATTGTGATGGCGTGCACCACCGTTCATTTCCTCTGATTGTTCACTATCAGATGCCTCAGAGGACTTCACAGCAGACCTCAGCAATGATGATCTCACCCTGGGGATGATTTCATGGTGCAAAACTTGTTGAATGTTCAATAAAATGACGTGCTCTTGAAGGCGTGCCTTCAGGCTGGAAAACTTGATTCTGGGTGTATGATTCGATATATACTAAATAAAGTTAACTATGAAACATAAAGCATGAAAGCCTACTCTAAAAAGCCAACAGTTGGAAAGATGGAGATGGAAATATACAGAGCAGGTTGTTTTTTCTGCTGGCTGTAGTGCTTGCAACCAGCCAGCAGAGGTCAGTGTAAGTCAGAGTTTCATTACAGGTGTGTGAGCACAGCAGTGACGTTTGAGGTCCTGAGAGGGTGAGGGGAAGGAAATCAGTTTGTTAATATCAGTATCAGATTAAATTTCACAAATGAGGACACTTCAGTACTGCAGGGTGTACTGGAGTTTAATTTGATGTTTTCATTTAAAAACCCTTAACAAATCAGTTATTCCTGTAATAAGTATTATTACTTCACAGTTCATCATTTCTACTTCAGGTTGTTTGCTGAACCTCTTTTTCCTTTTCCAGTCATGTGACCTGTCCCTAACAAAGAACGGTATCTAAAAAAGCTCAGTAAAGCACCTTTCACTATGAGTATTCCTGAGTTCAGAGCAAACATTGGCAATAGCTCCTTGACCCTGTTGGCTGCTGTCACCATAAGATGAGATTCATTGACGTTAGTTGCTGATATTTATCAGTCTTTAATCAATTTTTTTAAGAAGGCATCTTCATTTCCTGAAGCAAAGAGGGCACGAGGCAAACTTATCACCACAGTTTTGTATTTAGTTTAATTAGTTTCTGTGTTAGTCTTAGTATTATTCCATGGAGGGCATATGTCAGAGGGAAGATTTAGGAAAGTTTGTACAGGTATTACAATAAAAACAGTTTTTAAAGCAGTGACTCACAGTCTTGCATCTCAGTAAACACGTCTATCAATGTCTCATCAGGGAAGTTTTTATCAAACTACTGATGTACTAAAACTAACAGTATTTCCTCTGTAGCTCTATTTTATTTCAGATCAGTTAGTTTACATTTTTCAAAAGTGTAGTTTTTATTTTTATTTTAGTCAAAATATTTTTTCACATCTGGTTTTAATAACCTTGCTTATTACATAGCCAGATGGACGATGTTTTCTGTGTTAAATCTGGTCAACGACTTGTTAAGTCTGATAAAGCTTTAAATCTTTATATGTCTAAATGTACTTTTCTAAATCAAACATAGCTGTTTATTAAAAATACAAACACATTTCCTTTAAATATAACACTTATGACAAATACAAAAAAATGGGAGTTGGGCTGTGAACCAGTTGCATGTGACACCCCTAACAATGCAAGCTTTGTCCCAGATGTAATTTAAACAGGTGAGTTTTCAATAAATTCACCCCTCTACAGATGTTATGATCATAAGTTCCTACAGACTGAGATAGTTTGTGTATCAGGCTGTAAAAATGTTTATTCCTACTGTAATGCGAGACATATTAACCTTTGAGTCTACGGAGGAGCAACTCACTCACTCAAGTAGGACATTAGAGGAACTGCAGGGTGGGGTTTTTTTTTTTGGTGTTTTACATGTTTATAGAGTCAGGTCTGTCCACAGTTAAAGCGATTAGATCTAACAGAATTTTCAGACGGTTTGATTTAGGATTTATTCTTTTATTTAGGATTAGAGATCTTTTGGAAATTTCTTTCTATAATTTTGAGGAAAAAATCTGAATTCCGACTGTGCTTTTATACTATATTTTTTCTATTTTTCTAAACATTCAAAATAAATAAGTAAAATTAAAATTCAAAAGAGCCCCCATTCCCTTCCAGTGGCCTTCCTCTTGATGTTTGTTTTTAATGCAGTTCTTGGCCCCTCCTCCTCTTCACATGCGCCTCTGCCCAGACTTTGCGGACGGTCCCTGACTTCCCAGTGAGGCGTTCAGGGAGCCGCTCAGACTCACCGCCTGTCGAAGTGTGAGCAGCAGGAGGGGAAAGTTGGTGTGTTGGAAGAAACCACCCAGACCCCAGTCCTCTGCAGCGGTGTCCAGCTGTGCTGTTGTGGGCTTTTTATTTTTTTAACCATGCACGTGGAGCAGCTGATCGTCGGAGCGGTAAGCTTGTGTGTGTGCGGAGTGGTGTGGGTGTTTGCGTGGCAGCTTTTTTCACCGCGAGAGTCTGATAATGTTAGAGAGGCACAAAAATAAAAAGTCCACACATCTGAAAGTGTTTAAAATCACATAGTCGTCAGTTAGGAGTGCGTTAAATTGTATTTAAGGGATATTTTTGTGTTGTGGAGAAGGAAAAAAAATCATTAAACTTGATATTTCCAGTTCTAAAAACCTGTAAATGAAAGCGAGAGACTTTCTTCTTCTCTTTCTGTTTCAGAAATGATTAACCTAAAAGCAAAGAAGGTTGTTCCTCCTCCTCTTTAAAGCCCGAGTGTTTGTTGTTGTTCATTCATCTTCAACCATGAGCACCCTCCAGCAGCTGGGCACCATGGCCTTCCTCATGAAGAAGAAGAAGTTCAAGTTTCAGGTGCACTTCACTCTGGAGGAGCTGACAGCGGTGCCTTTTGTGAACGGAGTGCTTTTCTGTAAGATCCGCCTGGTTGATGGTGGGGACTTTGCCATCTTATCGTCCAGGTATGTAGGACACCTTCCTCGTTGTAAACCACTGAAAGCTGCACTGCATGAACTGACTGCTGTAAATGTAATCCCTCTTCGAGTCTGTCTCCGCTCTGCCTCTGTTTCTGCCGGGTTTTCCACCTCAGATGAGCCTTAACAGACCTTAAACTGGCAGCCATGTGTTACTTCACCCTTGGCTGTGCTTGGAAAGTCTCCCAACTCCACCTTTCACTACACTCACACTGGGATTTACCCAGAAGTAACACACCCTTTGGTCCTTTTGGCTCATCTCTGGGGTGGTGCAGTGGTGTGTTGTTAGTTTGCTGAAGGGCTCCTGGGCAAAGGGGACTGAGGAGCGATAACGTCAGAGGCTGGAAAATGATGCCAGTGTAGTGGATTCCTATAACGGCCACTTCAGGTTCCAAAAATGAGTCACTCCCCCATAGACTATATATTTAAATGATGGCTGTAAATAAATTCTCCTCCCGCACATTTGTTATTAAGTTGGAAATCTTTACTTTTTTTAAAATTTCTGCCCCCAACATCTGTCACAGCAGATGGTTGGTTCTGCCGGAGGTTTCTTCCTGTTAAATAGGATTTTTTCCTTCCCACTGTCAATATGTGCTTTGTCATAGGGAGTTGTTTGATTATTGGGGTTTTCTCTGTATTATTGTAGGTAGGGTCTTTACCTTACAGTATAAAGCATCTTGTGGTGACTGTTGTTGTGATTTGGCACGATATAAATCAAACTGAATTGAATTGCTGTAAATTTGGACCTTTTAACATGGGAGTGTATGGGGACTGATTAACCGCTGGAGCCAGCCTCAGGTGGGCATTAGAGGAGTTGGAGTTTGTGGGTCTTCCAGGTTTACATCAGTTTTGAGCAGCTGAGGTTGCTATTGAAAGATTTGAGATAGTTGAGTAGAACATTTCACCTCATGTTTACATATAAAAGGTGAGACTGTATAGTGAACAGGTGATAGCAGAAAAGCTTGTCTGTCCAACAGCCTGGCAACCTGAAATGATCCAAACTGGTTTGGTCAGGAATTAAATCCGCCAAAAACTCTCCATCAAACCACACCCCTTCTTTATTATTCTGCTTCTCTGTGTGGGTTAAACAAATGAAATAAAACACTGTAGTGGATACACAATGGGTTGTATCCAAGATGCAGCCTCTGGGGCTGAAAAAGTGAGACAGTCTCTGTAGACTCCTGTGTTACAGTGTCCAGCAGAAATAAACATGATATAAAAAACTGATTTGGCCTCTGTGGATAATTTCCCCCTTCATAAAAACTCTATTTTCTAACTCTTCTGATTGGATACTGAAAGTGGAAAAAAAAGATTAGAGGTCAGGGGCAGTAAACGAACAGGTTTAATCCAGTCTTGATTTATAGCAGAGCTGGAAAAGACAGAAGAAAACAGTGACATGCTAAAAATACGCCGAGTTGAGGGGGAGATGGACAGAATGACATAAAGAAACACAGGAAAGACTTTAACACTGAGACTTTGAACCTTTGACCTGGAAACAGAGAGTGAGCATCAAGAGGTTCAGACAGATATCTGGGCCAGGTGGATAAAAACCCTTTAAAGTGATCTGTAAAATCTGCAGGCCAGTGCTGCAGTGAACTGAGAGAACGCCGAGTCAGCATGTTTACTGCATGCAAATAACTGTTACTCTGAGTTCCAGGTATTCATGTATGACAGTTACCTAACTTCCCTGTGAATGTAAATGGGTGGTGCATTAAGACTGCAAGACAAACAACAGAGCAACAGGGCAGAAATGTTATTGTACAAATATATTCATACAAATATTTGGATTGGAGGCTTTTATTTTAAAGCACTGTTTGACTGTAGTTTCAAAAGTCAGACTTTCCTTTTGAATCCCTGATTGTATGTATGGGCAAAAAACCAATTTATTCTGAACTTACAGAATGAAATAATCAGAACCTGCAATGAAGCGTGCACTAGTGTTAGTTTTTTTGAGGTTTTCATAGCACATCTTCCCGCTGTAGCCCTTATCAAACCACTATCAGGACCCAGCCTATGAGGTGACGGAAAACATGTCAGATAAACAATAATAATCTGACATATTCTGTTCCTGCTGCCAAAAGCCCAAAGAAGGAGGGCTTGTTTATCCTACCGCATATAAATGTCATGCATATATACTGTGCATCAGTAACACATTAATGTAGGTCAGTAAAATCAAAACACTGCAAACAGTAAACAAAGGAGCATACGTGGCCTAAGTATGTAGCATTATTAACATGGATATCTTATCTTTGGGTTAATTTAAGCATGTCAATAGACTGCATTGGTCTGGCCCTTGATGTGTATCCTGCAAACATGGCAGAATCAGCGATGTTATCACTGACGTCAAAACTGGTCATAATGTGATGGCAAAAGCTGCACGGCTGCTGCCGGTGTTTCCATGCAGAATAGAGGTCAAGAAATGAATGTCAATCAATCCTTTCAGCAGCCAAAACAAATGGAAATGTCTTTGTTCTTGAA